ACAAGGAAACACTAATAATTTCTCAACTAATTTTATTGTGATAAGGGTTATGTTTGCAATTTTTTTTATTGAAAGCTAACCCCTAATTTGTTTAGGCTTCATTTGTGATTGATTTTAGAGCTCAATCTCTAATTTTCAAACAGTATTTTCATGTTATTTACGGATTATAAGGAAGACCCCGATTTCTATCAATATGATTTTGACATGCCTTCTGAGAAAGATGATATGCTGTGTAATCGCAATGTAACATATGAAATCGAAATTGGATTGGACATGAATGAAGCGGGACACGATGGAGCAATGATGCTTGTAGGGGAGATGGACGACGCCAACAAAGTAGATGACTTGGAATATCCATAATCAGAAGAGCTATCGTTGGAATATTTGTTGGACGAAGTGAGAACATATCGTGCTCTGGATATTATGTGAAGTTAAGGTGTAAAGATATAAAAAGAGTTCAAGGAGTTTGAAAATTGTGCTATATTTTTATGATAGATTTTGTAACTTATGTTTTGCTCTGTGGACTAGTAGATGTGCTTTTGTGTTGGTGTTAGGTTAGAAAGAATTTGTTGTCTGTAGTTGAATTAAGTTGATGAAGGAGCTTTAGTTTCTACATCTCTTTTTTGCATAGAGCTTTAATTTATGCATTTGTTTTCCTTGAAATATCCACTTAAATGGATTGGAGTTTGATAAGAGGTACCAATGTTTAAACTTATTAGAAGTCTATCACAGATGGAGCCAAGTTTTTTTAGTAGATTTTTCTAAGTCAACCTCATTCAAGTGATCGCGACTGCAGTTTGTCTACTTAAACAACGCGAAAAGTACTCACTTGTCCAACTCCATCTTAACCAAGACCACTTGAGATTAGGGTAAAGAGCACACGAAAACGGTTATATATGGTAGTATTATGCAGCCATGAGCTAGAGTTGAAACAACGGGCAATCCTACAATGGAAGTCTTTGACCCGATCACAATGTTTGAAATAATTGACGGACCTTTTTCCTTTCCTTTCCCATTTTCCTCCATAACTCCTTTTCTCTTACAGATAGTGATATTGACGGATATCTCCACGTTTGCTTTTCTATGATTTGAGCGAATGTCTTGAAAATGCATGACAAGTCTTCAATTAGATTTTTAGCCTTTCCTCCACTAGTCTCATCTTCAAAATTTCACTTGAAATGACCCCAATTTATACTATAGCGAAAGAACAATTGTCCTATTTTTCTCTACCTCCATATATTTCTTGAAGTCTTCACCACATTTTGGTCATCGTCTCTTTGTCGAGGATTTTAACAAGTAGTGCCCGAGCTTCATGCAACAATGACAAACACTCATGTTCTTCCATATCGTAACACTTAAAAAAGGGGAAGAATTACTATGTTTTCAGCATCATATGATAAAACTAAACCATGACAATCATATCATTTTTCAGCATCCACCAACAAGACGAAATTATGAAAATCAGTCCAGTTCATTTTCTAACAACATTTTCAGAAAATGGTAAAGGGAAAGTGTTCAAATAATGTAAAACTAGGCAAAGTGGTTTGAATGAATGAAGCAAATGACCTGCAGCAATGAAATTGAAAAAAACTGGCTCGGACTATGTGCAGCCACGAGATTCCAAACAATTCCATTAATTGAACAGTTAGAATTGCATATTTCTTCAAAACAGTAAACGAAAATTTAGGCGCTGGTTTCAAATAGTTCAATCAGAAATTACCTTCATCGTGTGTGGAATTGGTTGGGCTTGTGTAATCTCTTTCGCGTCTTTTGGGTTTAGGTTACATGACTTCTGTGATTCAACGTCCGTGTTTAGGTAGGATGGAAGGTTTAGGAATTCAATTACAATATGAAGTTGGGGATGGTGGATTCCAGAATATCAATTTGCTTCAATCTCGATTTAGGGTTCCACGAGTTTTGATTTGGGAGCGAATCAATTAGGGTTAGTTTTGATTTAGGCTCCGTGTTTTTTCCTTTTCCAGACGCTGAAAAACGGTCCATAAACAATGACTCTTACGTGGCTTTAAGAAGATGCCGTCTATTGCCATGTAACCTCCGTCTTGCCACCTGGGACGACTTCCAAACATGTGTGTAGCTAGTGATGGACGGAGGGAACTGATTTTAAGTTCAATGACCATGCAGGAGAACACCATAGTTCAATGACTATAATGTGACCACATATAAAGTTCAGTGATTGATGAAACTTCTTACTCCTAATTAATGTTATTTTTGTCAATTTAACTCACATTCCCACATTTATTCAAGGGAACAATACACAAAACCTACGTGTAAGAATTACTTTTCAAAACTAACAAATTTGTCTAATTATTTTAAAAATTAGGTGGTAAATAGATTTATTAAATATTAAATTATAATATAATATATATTAATTATTTACACCCCATGGCACTTCACCCACCCTATCACTCTATTACACCACATTTCCTCCATCTCCGGCACCGCTCCGGCTTTGGTCCGGCGACTGCTCCGGCGATGGTCCAACGACTTCTCAGGCTGCTTTTCCGGTGACTGTTCCGGCGATCACTTCGATGGCCGCTCCGGGGATTTCAAGATTTCCAAAATATTAGAAATTGGAAATCACACCCCCAACCCATGGATCCACCTACGACCACTCCACCTACTAAAAAAATTACCGAAAAAATATCAAGTCACTTTATTTATTCAAGTCACCGACACATGTCATTAGTGACTAATTGTGACAAAATTAGTGTTGAGTGTGACTATGTGTGACCAATTTTGTGATAATTGTGACCGATTGTGACTTGAATATATATGTGTACTGTGACTGATTGTGACCAATTTTGTGCTAATTGTGATCGATTGTGACTTGAATATGATCAAGTCATAATTAGCATATAATTGGTCACAATCAGTCACAGTACACATATATTTGGTCACAAATGGTCATCACAAACAAATTCGCCAACACCACGGACCAGCACCACAATCTTACTCATTTGACTGGCCCTTCCCACCCCTGCCTCTGCCTCCTAAAAAAATTACCGAAAAAATTTCAAGTCACTTTATTTATTCAAGCCGCTGACACGTGTCACAGTTATTAATTGTGATCAAATGTGTATTCAATGTGACTAACTGTGACCAAATTAGTGTTCAGTGTAACTGTCTGTGACCAATTTCGTGCTAATTGTGACCGATTGTGACTTGATCACAATTAGCACGAAATTGGTTACAATCAGTTACAATACACACATATTTGGTCATAAATAGTCACCACAATCAAATTCGCCAACACCACGGACCAACACCACAATCTTACTCATTTGATTGGCCCTGAATCCATATCAATGCCATTAATTCACAAGTGTATTTACAGAAACTAGATGATGCAGTAGTTGCATTTCTGTGTTCATAAATGTATCAATCTTACTCTTTTTTTTATTAGCTGTTAAACTGAACAAAACATGGTACATTTGATAAGCCATAGCTGCTTAAATTATTAAAGGAAAATATTCTTAACTTTTACAAAAACTAGATGCTGCCGTAGTTGCATTTCTGTGTTCATAAATGTATCAATCTTACTCCTTTTTTTTATTAGCCATTAAACTGAACAAAACATGGTACATTTGATAAGCCATATATTTTAAAGGAAAATGTATGTTATTCAAAACTTGTCTCTAAATTTTCCAATCTATTGAACTCTGTCATTTCTTGTATGTTAGCTGCAATTTTAGAATAAGCTCACATTATTAATTTCCTAGAGCATTCAAAAGTTAAAATCCTTCTGCCAAAAACCCCCCCACCAAACACACCAAAAAATGCACCACCCCACAACCTCACCAATAGCGGAAGAAGGATTTTGGCCGCCTCCTCCACGTCCGTCACCATAAACAACCCCATCTTCAAATCCTTCTCCTCCAAGCACACCCCAGCACACATTATCACCACCTTCTCCACACATAAAATTCGAATTGATGTTCATACAATCATGCCCCCTCAAAAACTTCATCAGTCTGTCCAAATTACAGTATGAAGGACCACATTCACTGATGGCCTTTTTCCCCAAATTTGCCATACGATTAGCCCTCTCCTAGAACTCATCCCTTCTCTCCACCATTATATCCCTAACCATCTTTTCGTTGATCACTCGATCACAATTATCTTTTATATCCAATCTGAGCTTCCAAACATCACTAACAAACCTACTGTTTATTGTCTGATCTGCAAAATAAGGCCAACAAAGCATAGGCATTCCCCCAGCTACACTCTCCAGAGTTGAATTCCATCCACTATGGGTGAAAAATGCCCAAATCCCTGGATGGGCCAAGACCCTGGAAGGTCGCGCCTCTGGAGAAATCCCTCCATACCTAGCACACTTGTTACCATTAAATCCATCTCTTTCTTTTTCCAATATGTATATTTATCTTCATCGTTCCCCACACAAATACAAAAGTTAAAAAATCATTTCACTTTCAACAGGATAGTTCAATTAATCCAATATGCAAATTTACACATTTAATTGGAATAGAATAGTACCTCTTAGAGGCACCTCGTCGGCATCAATAATTTCTTGGATGCAAAAATTGACAGTTTAAATTTTAAATTGGTTAAGCCAGATCTGAGGCACCAATTTCTTGATGCAACGGAGAGACACGAGAGAGGGGGTGGGTGGGTAGAGATGATTTAGACATAGAAATAAATTAGAGATGAGATTGAAAATTAGGTTATAATTAGGGTTTTAATTATTAATTTAATTAGCACCTGATTTTTGATTAAATCAACGTTAGACCTGATTTTTGAATTTGAAAACTTAAATACCTTGTTTTACGTAATTTTCTCTTTATTCAACGTTACAAAACAACCAACCGAAGTGGGCTTTACCCAAAGCGACCCAAATAAAATTGCTGGCAATAACTTTTATCCCGTTCTAACGAAGCGCTTAATTAGGGTTTTAGTGATTCGTAGAGCTAGACAGCACAGAACAAAAATTCGCCAATTTCTCTCCCTAGGGTTCTAAAACGATGCCGAAATCAAAGCGAAATAGGGCAGGTACGTATTTTTCCTACCCTCTACATGCTTGAGTTTATCAATTTCTGGAGCATTCATAATGAATTTTGCGTTTTTTTGAAAGTTGAATTTTGTGTAATTCATTTTATTTGGTAATTTCTGTGCAGTGACTTTGTCGAAGACGAAGAAGAAAGGGAGGGAACACAAAGAAAATGTTGTGAATGCAATTCGAGAATCGGTCGAGAAATACGATACAGTTTATGTTTTTACTTTTGAGAACATGAGGAATCTCAAGTTTAAAGAGTTTAGAGACCAGCTAAAGTCTTCAAGCAGGTGGGGTAGCATACTATTACTTTTCTGATTTACCTTTTTTTTTTTTTTGTGATAAGAATGCTTGCGTTGTTGTGGTATGAGGAGAAATTCGTTCTTATCATACTTGTGTTATTACTTATCATCATTACATTATTGCTGAAGAGCTCCGTGTCTTAATTGGGATAGTGGAAAATGGTAGCATAATAGCTCGAGTGTCTGTAACTTTAACTGTGTTTTTGGAGTCTTGGTCGAGTAGGTTTTTGTGAATAATCCAGGTGAAGATTCCCTTTGAAGCAACCATCTCTCCCAAGATGCATGTTCCCTGTTATTGCACAATTCAATCAAATTAAAAGGACCTAAAGTTGCAAGTACTATTGTAGCTTTCTTGTTTAGGACATATAGAGCTGATAAGTTTTTAGGACTGCTGTTATTGGTGACAAATATTGCTGAAATCAGTTGATGTTCAGGATTCGTTTGTTTCTCAGGTTCTACAGGACGATATGCTTTCCTTGCCTCATTGTTCTCGCTTTTTAATGTGGGTTCCGTGGAATTTATAATGGCTGACTTATTAATACAAGTAAAATGGCTCCATCTTCGGGTTACCACATCTTTTAATGTATAAAGAAAGAAGAATATTACTGGGTTTCAAGTTTAATTTTTCAAGTATACTTTTTTGTGAAAGTTGTCCTTTGTTGGAGTCCACTTTTTTGTAGTTTGGTTTTACAATATGATCATAAGCTAAAAATTAAAAAACAATACACATTTATTTACTTTTTTCTTTTGCATCAGATTTTTTCTTGGATCAAATAAAGTCATGCAAGTTGCCCTAGGTAGGTCTGCAGCTGATGAGATCCGACCAGGCCTTCACAAGATTTCTAAGGTAAGATGAGCATTTCTACCTGGTAAATAAATCTCATCAACTTTCAATATTTACTTTTTGTTCGATTTAGTATTTGATCGAAATATTATTTCCCTTCAGCTTTTACGTGGTGATTCCGGAATTTGTTCTACTAGTTTGCCAAAGGACGAAGTTGAAAGGTTTGTCTTTGAACCATTGTTATAAAGCATATGGGGCGTGGCATGCAAAGTTTACTACTACTATTATAAATTTTCATGTGATATTTCATATTCTGAAGACAAAGATTCTATGCATGTTATCAAGCTTCAAAATCCTGAAGTTTAGGTTTGGGGAATCTAGTTGGGGTTATCACTTTGATAATTCCATTTCATGATTCATGATTCATAATTTCTCCCCTATCTTGTAATTACTTTAGAATGACTCCTCGCCTAAAATGCAATACAGCATGTGCAAGGAATTGGCCAAGCATTTTAGTTGAAGATATAGGTTTATTTTATTGTATTCATTTTTTATGATATTTATAAAAATTTGGCTGCAGACACTATTTGTCCCTCTCTTATTACATATTGTGACGTATCAATATCATAGAAGTTCTTGATAAGAAGTTTCATTTCCAAGAACTGTTTTGTGGTAGAATTCACTGCAATTACACTTTTTGCAAATATAGAAACTTGAAATGATTTGAACTGCTGTTGTGTTTTCTCATTGTTGGTTTGTTTAAGTGAAAGTTCTGCATTCTTCTCTTTCTCATCATTGGTTCATTGCAGTCTGTATACTTTGTATATATATATATATATATATTAATTAATAAGTTTTCCATCCTTTTGAAATTTCTGTCAGATTATTTAATGAATATGAAGACTTTGACTTTGCAAGAACTGGAAGTATAGCAACCGAGAAGGTATGGTCGTGCTCAATTAATCTGCCGTGCTTCACGTCTGGGTTGAATGGTTGAGTTTGCTTTGGCACAATATTATGGAGATGGAAAAAATGAACCCTCCACTCCCCCCCCCCCAAAAAAAAAAAAAAAAAAAAAAAGNATATTTACTTTCCTTATAGTGTAGGTTTACTTTCCTTAATAGTTGAGTATGTAATCTTTCCTTTTATCTTTATTTCCATCTACAGTTATTTGTAACCCTATAAATATGGTCTTCTGCTTTGTAATAGAATCAGGTTTATTATAATACAATTTATAATATTCTTCACATGGTATCAGAGCCGTTGAGATCCTAAACAAATTATCTCTTGAATTTCGTTTCCGGCGAGCGGCCTTGGGGCTGCTCACCCGGTCAATTTTCTTTTAGCTATCAATTTGCATGTTAATATGTTATCGCTTTTCAAGAATTAAAAAACCCATTTCTGAAACATCCGCCACCTGACTACCAACACGCATAAATTCCAGAAGCCCGTCAAATCCACCATTCAGAAAACACCGCAGCCCCGCCTACACCTTCCCAGAAGCGTGCATCACCAACTAAGATGTCACAAAGTTTACCAGTCAATTAGCAGCAAGGATAAATATCTCAAAGAAGCTCCTGTTGCAGAACAATATTCATTCCTGAAACTGTGTCAGCAAAACCATTTTGACAATTACTATCTTTGCTTTCATCGATCTTGAAGAATTCAATAATCGATTCACAGATTTTCCGTTAACAAGACACAATCTGTTCTCAATATTCAATTCAACAAAACGAGAATGGGATCTTCCGAAGGAAACAAGATCAACAACGGAACCAGTTTTCAGCCATCAGAGCCGGTTCTCTGCGCCACCTGTTGCGGCTTCTTCGGTACAGCGGCGACGATGGGTCTTTGCTCAGAATGTTACTCGTATTTACGGATCGAGAAGGTAGAGCTTAACGAAGGTAATCTGGATCAGTTCACACATGAGATGGAGCCCTTCTTGCGTAAGCAGGGGATGCCTGTTAGGTTAAACAAAGGTGCGTCTCGACTTAAACTTTGCCTTTTGATAAGAGTCGAGGTATGTTTCTTCATTGTTTTGCAGCATATGACATGTCGTTCATGTAATATTGTGGACAGGTGTCGTGGAGCTTGTATCGGACTATATTGTATGTGAAGAAGGAAAGCCACTATCACCCGAGGCAGCTCGCATACTGGTTAGTCTAAAATTTCAGAATTTAATCTTCGTTTGCATTGTTATTAGCAGTGATACCCTAAATTTTGCATTGTCCATGTGTTCTAGTGAAGAAACCTGATGTCGCGTCTGATCAGTGTAATCTGGGCTGTTTCCCACCATTTTCAAACTTCTTTTATTATTTTTAGTTTTCAAACTTTTAAATAATCGTTTTCTCCATCTCTCTCCATGATAAAAAAATGTGGAACACTGTTCAATCTCTGCATATTTTTTGCCAATGACTAGCAAGCTTACTCTAATAGGTAGAGAATCTCTAACTATGGAGTTGATGACTTGTTGAACAGCGTCTATTGGCTATAAAGATGGCCACCTTCAAACTTCACTTAACGTGTAGATGGAGCTCTGAGGACTTCGAGATTTATAGAGAAGGATTGGAAGACTCAGATGTTGAATCCGCGTAGGATTTGCAGAACTTCTATGAAAAGAATGGGTGTCATCCAGCGTGATACTGCCCAGTTGAAGTTCCACAATGTGGGTTCTCTATTAGTCATTTGGCTTGTTGCAGCTAGTTCTTTATGAAATTTTGACTTTTAAATTGAAAATTTGTTGTTGCATTATGTGTTCTGTAAAATCTGCAAGAAATACGATGGTATTATTTTTGTCACAAAAAAGAGAACAGATGCAGAAATCCTGTTACAGAAAGAGAACAGAATAGATGCAGAAATGAAGACATTATCTGCAGAATAACTACTTTGACTTTATTTATAACGTGATTGCCTTTATATCGGGGCATTACATCCAACGAACTTGACAGAAGAAATAGCAAAAAAGCAGTCAGCAACAAGTAATCCGTATCTACTGTTACTTGAGCCTAAAGATCAGGTAAATGATAGCCAAGCAGAGTAAATTCCTGAATACTGGGACAACTCATTTATTTTCCTAATAAAATAAACAATCATGCTACATGTAAATGGTCCTTGAAATGAAGTTTTACATTGTTCCATGTGTCACGGCATGATTGGCCAGTATGAAAATAAAAAATAGTTTCCCGCTCATGAAGTTTTACGTTGTTCCATGTGTTTCGGCATGATTGGCCAGTATGAAAATAAAAAACAGCTTCTCGCCCATTCACTTTTTAATTTGCAAAGGTATGTCAACCATTATGTACAAAATCAATGAACAAATGGTTTAATCCTAAAATAAAACTTTTAACATTTTGAAAAATGCTATTTGAACAATGTTTTTGTACAACAATGTAGACAATGTTGGATGTGGCAAAAAAATATTGGTTGAATTTATGAGT